AAAGCCCACCTTCAGGGAGAACACAGAACAATTAGCAGTTACAAATGCTGCCATGTGAAAGCAGAAGAGGACACAGTTACTAGAGCACAATTTTGGTTTGGAATCAAAACTGCCCCTTGTTCGTGAAAATCCACATGGAAACTGAAACCAGGGAAACAGTGAAAGGGAAAAATCGCCCACATATGGCAATCAGTTTTGACACGAGGCTCATCAATAGCCCAGTCTTTCCAAGGCACATCATTATCTATCTGATCTGCCAAATCTGATACTTAACAATATTGTCTTCAGAACAGTTGACACAGCCTGGAAAAGTCTATCTTGTAAATCACAAAGAAAGATGACAGGTTTCACAGATCTCATCGGTGATAAAAAGAAGGGAGGCATAAAGGAGCAGATACTAGTATATTTGCTGGTACAATGAAATGAATGAATTATATGTATTTCAAGGGGAAAAAAAAACCCTCTATATCCCAACTTTTATTGAGACTCTGTTAGAAATATCCAACTTAATCTATTTATCTCAGCTTCTCCTGAGTTTTTGAAACGTAAAGACAAATGATCAGGGAGATCACACAATTTAGTGGTATAAAAAAAGTGATGGGGAAAGTTGAATCTGGTCAGAAGACTAGGCAAGTTGTAGCTTCTTCTTCCTACTCCAAATCCACAGAAATAACAAAAAGGGGAAAAAAAGATTTTTAAAAAGAAAAGGAATCCACAACTATGCTGTAAAATAAGAACTATACTCCACGAACCAGAATCTCCAGGGAATCTCTGAAAGCAAGAAACAATTGAGAGCAGCTGGATGGAGGGAACCCACAGCTCGAAATGTTCAAGGAGAGGACTTGCTAAAAATGAAACCCGGGACGTCATAAGCTCACAGGTAGCTGAGGTCTGGAGCTGGAAACGCTGAGGGCAACTGACTGTACAGGTTCAACCAGACTTCTGTGAAAACAGCCAGGCTGACCACTCCTGCCACACTTCTCCTGCTCACCAACCTTGGACTGGGCAGAGACAACACAGTTCTACCCACTGATGTGAGTGGTACACGTGGGCACTAAGTCCCAAGAAGCACAGCAGTACACCCCAGGCAAACCAGGGAGCACACACGTCACTAGCTGGTGGCAGGCTCATCCTTCCCTTCTCTGCAATGGCTGTTCAGAAGCATTTAGAACTTTAGAAGAAGAGTAATTAACACCTTGAGAAAATACAAGAATGACAATATACTTCCATAAAAAAGTAGAGATCTTAGAAATGAAAATTGCAATCAATGAAATCAAAAACTCAACTGATGGGCTGAACACTGAATGGATACAGCTGAAGACCAACTCACTGAGCTGGAACAATCAGGTAAATAATTCTTATAGAATGTAGCACAACAGAGAAAAGCCAAGGGATATACAGAAAACAGAAACCAAAAGTCAAAGATCTCTTGAATAGAGGACTTTAGAATAGAGAAGGTGAACTGAGGAATACTAAGAGCAAAGACAGTAGAAAATTTCCCAGAATTCAAAAGATGATGTGTCTGATGGAACATGATTAACAGAAAAAGACCCACTCCTAAAAATACTGTGACAAAATTTCAAAATACCCAGGATAACAATAAATACCTAAAAAAAATGAACAAAAGAGGGGGGAAAGGATTCTTATTAAAATTCCAATAGAAGCATTTTACTCAAATGGTCAAAAAAAGTGCAGGTGACAATCTTTCTTTCCACCTGACCTTTGAGATTATTCCAGGTAACATCAATATAAAAATTACCATCTGGTCACCCATGCCTTGGACCTCTACTCCTCTGCTGTTCATCTCCACCCACTTCAGTGAACTACGTAAACACAGTTGTTTAACACTCCTTGGACCTCACCAAGATCTGAAAATGTTCCACTACATTCCTCTCTGCCTATTAACCCCAAACCTACCACCCTTTATTAAACAGGGTTTTTAATCTCCTTAAGACTTGCAGTCCTTTGATTTCACCCTATTCCCTCACGTCGTCAGGTCAGCACTGCTGATTCAACTTTCTTCCCCAATTTGCCTGGATCCCTCAATAACATATTTCAATATTTCAGAGGGGGCCTCCGTTAATTTTTCACATAGCCTTGTGCCATGCCTATCGGTGAATTCCCAGCTAGGATCAACCTATTCCATTATGATTGGTCTAAACTCCTACGCTGCTGAGCCTGCTCAGATACAGCACAACCATGTTTATTGGCTCTACTGCAAATATCTGACCTCTAGTCTCACGTGGGTCCTCTATGGCCTTAAAACTATCTGGCAATTCTTTCTTCATCTCTAGTCTGCTCCTATGTCCATTCTTCATAGGTGTTATCCAAATCTCCATCATTCTTTCAAAGTTCTCTAGCTGCCCCCAACTCCTCTCACTCCTAATAAAGACCCAGTATATGATCAGGCTTTTCTTAAAAATATTTTGTGAGCTATTTTATTAGAATACAATGAAATATTTGAAATATTAAGATATAACAGAAAAAGCATTTTCAACATAAAACAATCAAATATCATCTCAATTATCTCTAAGATTAATTCATCCTTCCAATTGCACTTCATAGTTACCCTCTGCCTGAAGCTTCCTTTTGCCTTGGATTCACCCACGTCACTCTTCTCTTCTGGTTTTCTCCTACTCCTGACCACACCCCCTTGAGCTCCTTTATCCTTCTTTTTTCACCATACCATGCTCCCCAGGTGGTCTCATCCACTCCTACACCTTCGTTTCTTACTGCCACATGCTGATGACTCCCTCATTTACATCCAGTAACTCAGACTCAAATACCCAAAAGCTTGTTTGCAACATCTTTACCAGATGACCCTACAAAACTCAATCTCAACATACCAAACCAAATTTGTTAACTTTACCCATTCACCTGCTTCTCTGCAATCCTCTTCTGGTTTATGGAAACATCATCCAGCTAGTTTTCCAAGATAGAAAAATTATTATAAGTCACCTTTGACTCTTCCTCTTCCTTAATCTTCACACCCAAGTCACCAAGTTCAGATGATTTTATTCCAAAATGTGTCCCTTATTCTCCATTTCCAATGTCACTACCCATCTCATCTCTCTCACCTGGATCCTCCCCCTTTATGTTACACATAACTACACCAAGCAGTGGCAACCTGGGCTGTACATTAAAACCACCTGGGGAACTTTTAAAAATCCTAATTCTAAGGGCATATTCCAGACCAATTATATCAGTGTGTCTGGGGGTAGAATCCAGGCACCAGCATTTTTTTACAGGTCACCATGTGATTCCAATACGCAGCCATATTTAAGATTTTTCAGAATGGAAGAAACGAACTCACAGGTTGAAAGTACATACCAAATACCAAGCAAGAAAAATAAAAACAAAGCTACAGCTAATCAAATCATAGTGAAACTGAAAACTCTTGAGGATAAAAAGAAAATCATGTAAAATCTTCTGCAGTGAAAAGACATTGTCAACAAAGGAAAGAAAATTACACTAATAGCAGACTTGTCATCTACAACTGTGGTGTTCAAGCCTTGGGCTATGGACCGGTACCAGTCTGTGGCCTGTTAGGAACCAGGCTACACAGCACTGTCTGAGCCCTGTCTCCCAATCCATGGAAAAACTGTCTTCCATGAAACTTAGAAACTGGGCTGCACAGCAGGAGGTGAGATGCAGGGGAGTGAGCAAAGCTTCATCTGTATTTACAGCTGATCCCCATCGCTCACATCACCATCTGAGCTCCCCTCCAATCTGTGGAAAAATTGTCTTCCATGAAACCAGTCCCTGGTGCCAAAAAGGCTGGGAACTGCTGATCTACAACATTAGGTGACAGAAGCCAATGAATTAAAAATCTTCAAAGTGTTGAAGGAGGGGGGAAAAAAAACGTGAACCTAGAATTCTATAGCCTGCTAAATTATTATTTAAGAACAAAATAAACTTTTTTAGAAACACAAAGCTAAGACTCTGCTATTGAGACCATCACTGGAAGAATTACCTTACATAGAATATATTTCATTATGAAGTGAACAAAAAGAAATACAGAAGTATTTAATGATATTGACCAAGCCTGGATTGCACCTAGAAAACATAAGATGTGTGAAATACATGCATGATTCAGGTTCCAATACCCTTAATGAAAGTAAAACAGCTCAGTGAAAATAAATTTTGTAACAAAAGCATTAGCAGGGCTCTGGCTAGTCAATTTGAATTGTTTTTTGTGCTTTTGTAGAATTTAGTCCAGTTTTTAATTGTCCAAATTTCCATAACATTAAATAATAAAAGAAAGCACTGCTAATATAGCGGTGTTAAAAAATGTTTACCACTTTCTTTCATTACAAAAAATAGATGTTATATTTATAGATTTATCAAAATATCAAAACAATTATATTTTTGCCATAATTATCTTATTTTCTAGATGATCTGAAAATAATATAAAAACTCCTATGACAGTCATTCAATCTCACTAACACTAAATACAGCTGACCCTTGAACAATATGGTTTTGAACTGTGTGGATCCACGAATACACAGTTTGAACTGTGTGAACTCTTCTCCCTATGCCACCTGTGAGGCAGCCAGACCAATCCCTCCTGCGCCACCTACTCAACATGAAGATGACAAGGATGAAGACCTTTAAGATGATCCACTTCCACTTACTGAACAAATATATTTTTTCTTATGATTTTCTTAATATTTTTTCTCTAGCTTCTTTTATTATAAGAATACAGTATATAACACATATAACATACAAAATACATGTTAATTGACTGTTTATATTATCAATAAGGCTTACATCAACAGTAGGCTATTAGTAGTTAAATTTTGGGAGAGCCAAAAGTTATAGATGGATTTTTAACTGTGTTGGGGGGGTCAGCACCCCAGCCTGTGTTGTTCAAGGGTCAACTCTAGCGTCCTTTCATCATATCTGGGTAAATTCAACCATGTATGTTAATTTTATTAGATTAATCTATAGTACTATATTCTAAGATCTACCACAAGAAAGAAAAAAAGACTCTTAACCAGGATGATAATTACGTATTTAATACATCTTGCTTTTAACAGCAATTTTTAAAGTAAACACATCATAGACCTTATAACTTATTAAAGATTTTATAGTGCTTACAAAGTTGATTCTAAAAATATACCTTATTTGTTCTAAATGAATAACAGTATCTGGAAGATAGAATAATAAATTATAGCAGTATGTCTTCCACCACGATAGTTAAGGTTGTGTACATATATTCAATATGAAATCCTCTTAAGATTTTCATACTCTCAGCCTGAAAACATAAAAGCAGATTAAAGTTTGGCATATAAGACTCAGTCTGACAGCAATCATTTTAAACCAAAAATTTTTAAATACCTACTCAATATTCTAGGAAAGCATGGGCACATGCACATACACATCCTCTCACTCACTCACCCCCACACATGCGAGTACGCACTCACACCCTAAAGTACTCAGAAGATTTTGCCCTTATATATCAGACAGTTGTCGTCAATTTCAAAAACAAAAATTGAGGGGGAAAAAGTTATCTAAGAATATTTAAATGGTGCTAGTTGTTGGAAAGATATGCCCAAAACTGTTAGCAAGATCTTTAACGTGCACACAATGCCATCTCAATTCATTCTTAAACAGACTTGAACTATTCACTAATACACATATGAACACATAAGAAATTATATACCCATCCATTCCCCAGACTGCATATAAGGTTGAAAATCCAGGCCTTCCATTGACAATCAATCATATGACTGAGCCCAGTAGAATTAGAAATTTCATTTTGATCTGTTTAGAGTTTCTTATACATTCCATGTGCAAAAGCAGTGAGATTCTGCATTGCAAATGACGACTAATATCACTTTACACTTTGTGGCATTGCAGGAGGTCACTTTGTATTTGCAAAACATATATTTATTCTACTTAAAGTCCCTAATGGTCCTTACTTTTAATTATATATACTCTTCCAAATTTAGATTCAAAACAATTTAATGCTGATAATGTCTCCTGCTCATCACATATACTTCCAGTAAAATCTGCCAAAAGAAAAAAATACTCTGTGGGCTCTCTCCAGTAATGCAGGTTTGAAATCGTTGTATAGAAGTTCATTTTCACCATATATTAAATACATGAAACTCCATGAAACAACATTAAAATAGAAACTAACAACACATTAGGGCACTCATAACTCATACTGCTGTGATTAGAAAAATAAAAAGGCACAACAGTAAGTGAAAGAGAAAATACCACCTTCCCATTTGCTTTTTGTTTGTTTTTTTGGCTTTCCTCTTATTTTATTTCACTAAGTTTATAAATTGTTCAAAGCATTCTTATACTCTGCATGACAGTAACAGAACATTTTGGCACATCAACATTGTGATATAACGTATGGTATGTTTAAAAAATTAATTTAAAAATTTCATCTATTAATCAACTTTTTTAATGTAGTGCATATATATCTTACAGTTCAGTCAAATACATAAAGGTTTATAATTGATTTACAGATGAAGCAATCACAGATTGCAGTAATATGTGTGTGTGTGTATACATATATACACACGCCAATCAAGGGAAAAACTGCATCCTGGCAATTTTACAGTCCCAAGTTTTGTTGGTATATCTCTCATTTAGATGTCCTTTTCATCTTGTTTTTCTGTACAAAAGGTATTTTTTTGCCTTCTTCATTCCTGATGAGATTTTTCTGCGATAACTTTACATTCATACTGCAAAAATTAAAAGGTTAACAGATTAAGATTTCTTTAGAATAGCAATTTCCAAATAAATTAAAAAGCTCTAAAAACAAACACGAATATATACCCACTTTATTCCTCAAAGAATCTGAGAGTTATACAATTACTAGCATTAAATGACAAATGTGATTGGGAAAAAGATAATTCATATTCTAGAACTGAAAGTCATAGCCCAAAGCAGGAAAAAGATGAGGTTTCTGCATCACAAGCAAATAAAAGTAGTATATGATTTAGATCAATCCCACATTATGAAAGCAAGCAAAGCAGGTTTCTCTGAGTGCTCAATAAGGCTAATCAGCAAAGGATAGGTCATGAACTTGAGCACAGGGTTGATGTAGTAAATTCAAATCATTGTTTATTCAAATCACTTTATGATTTAAAGGAAAACAATCTATTACATTAGCAAAAGCTTCCAGTCAAAACAGTATTTTTAAAGTACAGCTATAAAAATGTATACCCACAATTCAAAATAAGGGAAACCGACGGGGTTAGGACAATTGATTGGCTAGTTTATCAGAAAAGCAGCAAGGTCAAGCATGGTGGCTCATACCTACAATCCCAGCACTTTGGGAGGCTGAGATGGGAGAATTGCTTAAAGCCAGAAGCTTGACACCAGCCTCAGCAACATAGCAAGATAGAGCCTCTACAAAAAATAGAAAAAATTAACCAGGCATTGTGCTGCATGCCTCTAGTCCCAGCTACTCGGGAGGCTGAGACAGGCAGATCACTTGAGCCCAGAGGTTTGAGGTTGCAGCGAGCTATGATGACACCACTGCACTCTAGCTCAGGCAATAGAGTGAGACCCTGTCTCTAAAAAAAAAAAAAAGAAAAAGAAATAGAAAGAAAGAAAAGAAAAGAAAAAACAAGCGGGGGAAAAAAAAAGAACTAAGTAAATCACTCAATTCTCCTAGCTTCTGTGGCCTCTGAATGTAACTCACTAACAAGTTACTAACGAGGTCCTTTTCCTTCATAACTAAAAGGATCAAATGTCTTGATTTTCTGGAGATAGTCCTAATTTATACCTAGTGTAGCAACATGGTTATTAGTAGTGCCCCTTTTCACTTTTAAAACTGTCCCTTTTTCATGTAATGGAAACCTGTAGATTAGTAAGAAAAAAATCTAATATCCCCCATGGTTGAATAAATCGTATCACCCTATCCATAACACATTTGGCTTTTCTCTCTAATGGCTCCTCAACTTTTAATACACTTGTGATTAAATTCTTCCAAATGATTTATTTCAATGGAAGTGCAAAAGAGAAATCAAACAATGTTGACTTCACAAATTGCTTTCCCCTACAGAACTGCCATTTAGAGAAAACTTATCATACATCTCATACAGAAAAGTGATTAAATAAGCATCAGCTTACCATTGCCAGTTGTCGACCAATGTTTCCCATTGTTATGCCTCCAGCAAAAAATATACATGGTAACCAAGAACGAACATAGAGAAAATCTGGAGATGTATATCTAGAATAATAGAAATATTTTTAGCAACCCACAGAGGAAGAACAATGACACTTAAGATAATCACAATGAACATAAATTACTGAGTAGATTAAACTGACGACCTAACATCAAAATCTCAATTCTGAATCCAGTTATCATTATTTATCTAGCAAACAAGCACTGAAAAGATTAATACTTACTGATAAACACCATTATAGACTAGCAGCTGAGTGACCACAGTTGCCAAGAAAGCAATTCCTACTCCAAGGCCAAAACCACTTCTAGATCTATCAAAAGTCCACCACAGTCCAATGGATAGTGCAGCCAGCGTGAGAGACAACTGTATGTTGTTATCAAAATCCACTTTCTGAGATCAGTGTTAAAGAGTCATCTTAAAACTGGTAAACCAAATAATATCACCTGTTCATTTTCCTAAAGTAAAAGCTGCCACTCTTGAGAAGAAAATTAATTGCTTACACTCGAGTACATTCAGTCTTTTAATACAATACATGAGACTAAGTGGGATTAAACTGTCTCTGGTATTTACCGAATACCAAATACCCAAGGGTATTAATTGATAGATGTTACCAACCTATAACCCCTCCAAAACAAAAACAGTCTATGTACATTCCCAATTATAAGGCCAGGCCCATAATTTTAAAAATGCTTTCTTTGCTAAAAATGTAACTGGAAGCCTCATAACACAAGTATCGCAAAAGGAACACACTTTTGAGAAAAAGGAAACCAATATTACTTCTCAAACAGGTTTAGAATTACTTGAGAAACATACAGAAACTTGAAAATAGAAGAGCTGACAGCTATTTAACAGGGTACCACATTCTCTCTATGATTTACTGACAGACACATTTTACAATAATGCAGTTCAGAAACAAGAGTACCAAGGACACAGTATCCCTTTCTATTATGTCAACTGTTCCAGTTTTAATTTGTTGAGGATAAAGCCTTGAAGTGAACATTATCTTGCAACCTGCCAAGCTATTTTGGTGCCTGAGACTTTCTGGTACAGGACAGTTTGCTCAAATGATATTTTATTTCTGTCACCTACTTAAGCATCTATTCACAAATGTATGGCCCTTTTCTACTCCAAAATCTCTGGGCAAAAGGAAGCTTTACAAATTCAATTTTCTCATTTCTTTGCTAGAGGATTACACTAAAGGAATTAATTTCAAGTGTCATTAAAAGGGCATTATCTATGTCCCAAAGGACACATCTTGGCTCTGTAGCCAGCTACTGGGGGTGGGGGAGACACTACATATCTCACCAAACTAACTGGCTGCACTACAACTACAGAGAAGTCCAAAAAATATACACATAAAGCCATTTCCCGCTTCCTCTCACACCCCGTTGTTCACCACCATCCCCCGACCCCTACCAAACCAGTATCCTGAGCACCCAGCTTGCTCACTTGGTAGCACTTGAGCGCTGCTGTGGGCCACTCCCTCGAGTCATTCCTTGTTTAGGCTTGATTTATCAAGAAACCTACAGTTCATAGGGATATGCTTTCTGGAAAAGCATTTCTTATTCTTTAATTGTCATTATACTTAAACTACAAAGAAAAGATTTCAACCTCTAATTTCTCCACGTAATAAACACTCATGTAAAGGGTGGGATTTGATATGAACTGGGTTCCCTCTTTGCTAACTAAACTTCATGACGTGTCAAAGCAAAATTAAGGAGGTCTCCAGGGTAAACAGGTAAAATACATCAATCTTAAAAGTAGTACCATGTTATTTTCTCAAGTCTAAGTAACCTAATATTAAAGGTCTATGCTATACATTTTATAAATGTTTTGGATTTTGCTTAAAGGATACACAGGACAGCTAAGACTGCTATATTTAAGTATTTCATTAACAGAGAAAGAAGAGCAAACAAAACATTTAACCTAGATATGTAAAGTTTTTACAATTTCAGAAAAGCCTATTTTAATTTCTCTACTTAAAAACAGAAATCACAGCTGAAATGGTTGGGATAGAAAGGTTTAATCCACCAGATAGAGAGGCATTTACACACTTATGGGGCTCCTAGGTAGAGAATGAGATGTTTCTAGACTTGAGTCAGGATCTCTGGAAGTCCGATCTCAGCTCTCCTGCAATCTGACAGTATAAATGAGTTAGTAAATTACCTAACCTATTTAGCTTCCACTTGTCTTTTTATCTTTACAAAGAAAAGTGGAACTAGATGATCTAAGTTTTCTTGTATATATAATAGTCTATGATTTTATCTTTTTAAGCCCTCTTGACCACACTAGACTTGTTTTTTACAAAATCTAAATCTCAAAAAGTTACCAAAATAAAGATGTTGGAAAATCCTTTAATATAGTACAAAAGGAAATGGAAAACTAAAATAATAACAGTCACTGTAGGACTTCCACATTCACAGACCTGCAAGGGCCAGCACAACCGGGCACAGGAAGGCAGTGTGTTTTCAGAATCTATGACCTGGCCTCTTTCAGTGGTTTCTGTTCCAAGCCTCTCCAAAACACCTCAGTACTTTTTGTGAAAGACACAGGAATCTGCTTGCCATGTGACCCACCCTCTCCCTCCAGCCAACTCTGCCAGCCCTGAGCCCAGAGCAGAGTGGTAAGAGCAAACATTTGGCAGCCTGAGTCACACTTCATGCTCTTCCCAGTACCCAAGGCCCCTGCCCCCTTCACTAAACCATATCTTCCAACAAAAGAAGACAGGACTAGCACTTCCCAGGTCCTCTTCTATAAAGGAAAGTTGGAGAGGCTGGGAAAGAGGTAGAGGAGAGGAAACAGGGAGGATAACAGGATGAAAACCTTAGGAGGGAAAAAATTTGTTCTAGGAATGGACATATTTTTGGAGAGGGGGAGAAGGCAGAGGGGAGGGAGGAGGAAAATAGAGGCTACGTCACCCTACTAACTAGGACACTATATTCATTAATCACTAAATAAAGTGTCAGACTCCTCAAATGATAAAACTTTAAAAATATGTACCTTAGGGAAAAAAAGTTATTTTTGGCAAAGGTCTAAGTTGGGTATTTCTATTAATACTTATGATACTTTTAAGAATACTTATGTGGTTGCTTGGTGTGGATTAAAACCAATAAATGATGGAGTTTCTTTAAATTAAGAGACACAAAAAACAGAAAAGAGCACCTGAAGCCACCACATGTCCTTATTGACAAATTTTAAATGAAGAAAGAAAGAGAAGAAAAAAAATCCCTTGATAATGTACTTGTTTCAATCTTAGGATTATCCAAACTATCTGGAAGTAATTAAGTAACCCAATTTAAGACAAACATGTAAATTTTTTTAATGTGTAAAGTTTCTAAGTGATATTAAAAAATAAGGATTTAAATGAAAGGCTATAACCCACTCTATAATTGCATAGCTGCTACCTGATGTTTCAACAATATGGTTTGAATTCTTTTTATGACTAAGCAGGCAAATCACAATTTGACAATGGTGAAGTTGCAAGGGGCTATTTAACCTTTGGTTTGTTGAAAGCTGCTTTGTTATTACGCATTTCATTACAGCTAAAGGATACAGCACTGGCATGATTTATACCAACAAAGACGGCTACACACCGCATTACACTGGACCACTCTCTTTTAAATTTATGTGGTTCTCCTAGATGCCTGTCAATGCAGGGGTATAATAACCCAATCACAGCTGTGGAAAAAAAGAGAAAAAAAATTAAGTCATCTCCAACACTATACTGGCAGCACTTAAGGTAAAAGCAACACTACAACCACAATAAGCATTTTACAGTTTCTTTTTTAAAAAAAGTTACTTAACATCAATCACTGATATTTTTAACCTTACCTTCCAAAAAGAAAAAAAAAAAAATGAAGATACACCACTGCAGAAAGCATTGTAAATCATTACAACAATATTCTAAATTACACTAGGCAAAACACTATTAAGTGTATGATTCACAATTTAGCAGATTGGACTAGGTGATTCATGCTGCTTTTCTACTACTGTTATCTACGAGACTTGAAAAGCATCAAACCAGTTAGCAGTTAAGCAATGTTTTCCAAGCTATATAACCATAAAATACACTATAAATCTAAAGAGAATCTAGAAGCATAAATGTGTACAACAAGTCCATCATACACACAATGTTCTGATGAGTCTGGCTAGCCTCTTATGTAGATCAGTCTTGCCCCTACCAGCCTCTTGTCTCAGGCTTCTGTGTCTAGGACCTCTTCCTGCCACCCCTATCCACCCTGGCCCTCTAATGAGACCATAGGTCACACTGTCAAAGCAGGAAAACTCGAAACTGAAATCTACACATAAGACTCATTCTGCACATAGAAAAAACAGAGGAAATAAGGTCTACAGGAATCATAAATTTTTAGTTAAAATTTAAACTTACTGTTAGAAGAAGAAATCACCTTAGTACATTTCCTAATTTTGGAAAGAACAATCTGAATGCTAATTGTACGATTAATTATAAATAGCTATATGCAAAATGTCTATGATTGAGTCCCAAAATATTCTCATCCAATTCTTAAATATTTGTCAAACCTCAACATTTTATTCACGTAGTGGGAGAGGATTTTAAATGCTAAGTTAGTCATTAAAAAGACTATTTAATGAACCAAAACATTCTTCAACAAATTATAAGGAAAATGTACTCCCACAGATTAAATTTAACAGGAAATAGCTAGGCAGCTTTGATTTGCTAATCTCCCTAAAAACAAAATGATTATGTTGCCAGTCTGTCACATCAGTTAAAAAGCGTGTTTAAAATACCCAATACCACCTATGATGTATCACGGAATTATTGTACCAAAATCTAAGTGCCTGAGGGTCAGGAGCCCCTCCCCCCACCTGGTACTGGCTGGCTGTATCTCATAAACCATGCATTCAATATTTGAAGAAAAACAGAAACCAATTAATATCAAAAATCACAGGCCAGCAGACCAATGGTGCAGCATTTGAAAGAGACTATGTGACCACCCTTCCATCTGGAGATGAGATGCTGCAATTCTGTGTGCATTTTCTAGTCCACAACTCTTTTGAGTTAGGTGTTTGCTAAGTATGGACCATCAAGAGATTAGTAACATATCTCAGCAACGCAGAGCTCAAACAACTATTAGTAAATTTAAAAGTTTCACATTATATTCCTATTTAAAAGATTACTACAAAATCCTGTGAGATTAACTGACAGCATTTCTAAATTTCTACACAGTTAAAATGGCAACAAGCACACCTAACAGCTGAAATGTATCTAATATCACCTTTTTTCCTTCTCAAGGGGTCACAAAACTAAAGGCTCATCTGTCATTCTCCTCTCTCCCTCTCTATGTATCTCCTCCCTTTGCCTGTTGCTGAGTAAAATCAACTAAGAGCGGGCATTCCAAGTCAATTTTCCACAGCAGCTGATGCCATAGGTAAAGAATTATCAGATAGGGAATACTGACATGTGTGTGCAAAGATATAAATAAGTAAAATTGACTATATTTTTATGCATGTGATATCAGACTTGCAAGTGAGAGACAACTGAGGAGAGAGAGCAAAAACACAAAAAAGAATTTAAACTGCCGTACTGCCAACCTTGAGATTTGCCAATAAAAATCAAATCCATTGTGTATGCATGGTTCTCGGTTGCTCACTGAGAAGGAGAATTCGAGGAAGCTTGTCACTTCCCATTAAATGTCTTCTTTCTTTTCTTTAAATAAAGGCATAGTAGAGTCTGGTAGCAATATATACAGCACTATGAGGTTCTAGGGTTTGAGAGCTCAGCAGAATACGTCTGGGCTTCTTTTCCTCTTCCTGGACTTTTTTTTTTTAACAAGAAAGACTGTTAAAATTATGCATGTGTAAAATCATATGCAAACACAGTCCTGCTTAATCAGATGGTTCTCTGATGCAAAATCACATTTCTTGTGACATCTTTAAGTTACTTACGAGTAACTAGTTACAGTCTACCAAAACTAAAGACAGAAGTTTGTAAAAACATCCATAGTAAGCCATCACTTTTTCGTGCGAGTGTGCTTAATGCAGTGAGGCACTACACAGAGCACAGTTAAATCAGGTATTTTGCAAGGAAATGGGCTGAAAAAACAAAACCACTCAATGAAATATACTTTCATGGAAAACTGTGACAGGATAAGGTAATGTTTTCCTTAAACAAATACTTAAGCCCCAACAATGTGTCTGGTTCCTGAGATTTGCCAGGGACTTAAAAAGACAAAAGAGTAGACATGATTCCATTTTCAAAGTGACCACAGAAACAATTAAATATAGTCCTACATTAGGGGAGCGCTGACAGGACACAGGGGGGTCTCAGTCTTCTTGCATGTGCTGGGAGGAGGCAGGATCCTGGGCTGTCAGCAAAGTTTCATGGAAGAGGTGACCCTTGAGGCAGAAACATTCAGCAGTGGATGGTATGGAAGCAGCTTTCTCAGCAAAGGGAGGTGTTTGAGGACAAGCATGGGCAACTAAAAATAGCAGGTATTAGTAGGAAGTTGTAAACTTTAGGCACAAAGGGAGAATCAGGGTCCAGAAACATCCTGATGAAGAGAAAAGTAGGCGAGGGCCATAATCATAAAGAGACTTACCCTGCAGACACTGGGCAATCAGGAAAATAATGCCATCACATTTGTACCAGAGAGAGAAGCACTGAATGTACAACACAAGGGGGTGGGGTGGTGTGTGTACAAAATTAGAGGCAGAAAGAGACAAGACTAAAGACTCCAAGCACCGTGGTTAAGGGCCTGGACCAAGAAAGAGACAAAGGAAACATGTAAAACTTGGAAACTGGATGTAGAAGGTGAGAGAAAGGGAGGAATCTTACAAGACTCTCCAGGAATGGAGTAATAGACTACACAACAGGAAAGATTTCTCTTTTCTTTTTAAATTAGGTATACTTTCATAGATTTGGATACAACCTGGCCACTCGATATTTTTGAGGCAAATTCTCTACTTATTTTACCCACACAAGTTCTTTTTTCTATTTATTCTTTAAATTCCTTTGTGGCCCCCAATAATGCTCAAGAGGTTTCTAATTCCAAATCTAGGGCATTGCATAAAGAAGTAAATTATCTTATAACATCAGCATTATCAAACTAAAAATAGGAAATTAAGAAACGGAAAATGAGATCAAAAGAAGTTTACCAGAGTTCTCTACCAGCTGTCCCTCCAGAAGCAACACTAGCAAATTTTCCAGGACTGTGCTATAGGCAAAGGTGGCAAGTAACCAGGGGCCTTTTGGCCTACACATAGAAAGTGGTGATTCTGGAGCTCCTCCAAAAGGCAGCTGCTTGGTCTATGAACGTTGGCCAGATGGGAAAATCAAAGGACAATTACCAGTTTTTCTGACTTAAGATGGTAAGAACCTAGAGAGGTTTTGAAAATGCATACCAACACATAGACACAAAACATACATAATACATACACATACAAATTCATACATGCTGTTTCTTACATCATTTACTTCTTTTTCCTTGATATTTTCCCTAAGACGATGAGGGGCATGGAGGAGTAAAGATTACGAAGAATCCACTTTCTAACTTTGGCAACTTTCACAAATCTGCCATCTTCACTCTCATCTACTAAACACCATGACTCGCCCCCACCAAATTGGTAGCAGAGTTAACTGGCACCTAGATTTTCTAATGTCTCTCTACTTTCTTTTGCCCAGGTACCTTATGGTACACACTGCTTTCAGAAGAAATACTTAAGCAAGAAATGTAAATGCAAATCCCCAAATGAAAAGGTACGAAGTTTTTAAGTGTGACAAACCTGGTGGCTGGGAATGAGAAGAAAAGTAGGAACAAAGTGGCTGAACTGTAGTATTAGCATTTGAAATTTTCCTTCCTAAGATGTGAGTTTGTGGCAAAAGTACCCATATTATAGGGGCAGAAGGATCAGGCAGCAGACACAGCCCTGTTCCTCTCCATAACGGAGGTACGACAAAACCTCAGTTAGGTTCTCCTGCCCTGGCCCAGAACACACAAAACACACCAAGGAATTCCACCCAGGTCTGGCACATGTTTGGAGGCTTGAACAGAGGCATCCTGAGTAGGGAGAAGTGTAAGTAGCTCCCTCCTTCCCCTTCCCCAGAATGTGACATTTGAGCCCAGTCCTACCGCTCACTGGCTCTGGCACCCTAAGCCCATTGATTTCTTCATCTCAGTGTCCTCATCTCCCCAAAACAGACATGGTGCCAAACATCTCTCTCCTAAAGTTGCCCTACAGAGTCCTGGGATTAAGGGATGTTCCTGGCATGTTAGAAGACATTTAATAAGCGATGGTTTCCCTTCTCTGACCTTTTTTGTATGAAAAGATATGTTCTTCCAAGTCCCAAAAAGCTTCTATTGGCAGTTAGAGAGAGACTATACCATAGGAGAAAATAAACAAAGAACTAGAAAAATTTGTTGAGAAAACTTTATTTTTCTTTTCTGAATTTAAATGAAAGAAAGGAAAATGCATGAGGACCAGCGCATACAGCAGAGCGTGATAAAATATAATTTATGCTTTCTTCTCTTTGTTTGGACTATTTTGCCTATTTTCTTGGAGGATGATAACTCTGGGGAACCTAGGAGTCATTGCCTTTATGACTTCTCTTTTAATGTATTGTACTAGTGAGACATCAATATATAAACTACACCGAAACCTTACTACAACAATGCCCGTCTATCCATGCAACAGGATTATGTAATTGTCTAGCAGATTTCATGAGGTCATTCTAAAACATCTCACAACTTCAACCTCACCCTTCAAACTAGCCGTTTGACCTCCAGCTCTTAGATGTAAGCTGAGAAGTACCTATATTATGTTCCAAGGTATTCACATATGTTAAGTATGAGACACCAAAAATGAGACATCAAAAAAGCAACTTTCTCCCTCAATCAGAATTATCTTCCACCACATGATTATGGCTTCCTTCCATCACTTTATTATACAAAACACCATTAATCTACTGTGCTCAGTCATTAGAAAAGGCTAAAGAGCTATCCTTTATGGAAATGTGGCATCCATAAAGCATTCTAAAATGCTCTACTTTATCTATTACACATTGTTTATCCCCCGCCAAAAAAAGATTAAAGTAACTAATAGGATAACAACAATTTTAAGCAGAGTCTACCTTATTGATCCCTTTAAATATTTATTATTCTTAAGGTACATTTAAAAGCAAGATATTAAGAGAAAAAGCAAATACAAAAATATAAAAAATACAACATGAAGCTTAAACTTCAATAAAACTATTCCATTACTCAAGTTACCTACTTCAAAAACAAGACCATAGCACACACATCAAACCAAACCTTAAACCCAAACAGTCATGATCATCATCAAAATAACTTAAAATAAAACTTAGATGAGATGGGTTAAAGAAAGGAAAAAATTAAGAAGTCACATGCCTCATCCCTACGAATTGCTTTTGGGGTTAAATTTTTGAAGTTCGTAAGTCAGATAGAATCTACACAAAAGAGTACATATTCTATGACTCCATTTATATTACCTTCTAGAACAGGCAGAAATAATCTATGGCAGCAGAAAGTAGATCAGTGGCAGCTGAGGCTGCGGGTGGGGAATGGACTGCAAGAAGGCATAAGAGAATTTGAGGGGTAAAGGGAATGTTCCATAGCTGAATTGTGGCAGTGGCCACATGACCATATGCATTTGCCTAAACACATCAAGTTGTTCATTTAAAATAGGTCCACTTTATTGTATCTAAATTATACCTCAATAAAGCTGATTTTTTAAAAAAAGTTTATTGCTCAGACAATATCCACACTCATTTACTGTGTTTTCTTTCTAAGTATTACAGAAACATCCTACACATACCTGAAGCTGTGCCACAGCATGGTGGTACCCACCATGCAGAAGAAAAGATGCTTGCAATCACATCAGGTGGAAAGAGCGTCACGTTTCTCTGAATCTGAAGTAAATTTAATACTAATGCGAGAAATACGCCAATAAAAAACAGCACTACTCCTCGAATCATCAAGTTCACACTCTGGCTAGTAATGGAGGAGATATATGGGCCACACTTTTTGGGCCCACGTGATTCTGTCTCTCCTTCCGCCATGGTTTCATAAGTTCAGTAAGCCGTTAAAAAAAAAAAGGCTTCCCAGCTGAAAAGCTCAACTGTCTATGAATCAAAGCAGATTGACGTTTCAACAGTACCATCACATCTTGTCCTAGAGTAGAACCTACCAGAAATCCTGCAAGAGATAAGAAAAAAGATATCAATGTGTGTCTAATACATGATTATTACAATTTTCCTGATTTCAATACTAATTAATTTTAAAAGATGAATAATGTAATGACAAGTTTGTATATTAATTTCTTTAAATTTGTTATCTATTGAATAAGAAAAGGCTTGAAAAGTATTTTTATATGCATGATGTAATAAAAAATAAATTGCTACACTTACATTTACTAGGACAGAATAAGTGACCTAAAAAATTTAAAGTTTAGAATAATAGTAAAAACAGTTTGCCCCATCTCAGAGAATAATGAAACAGGTAATCTGAGACACTTCCACTAGAATCTGGAAGATCAAAACCCAGTTCCCCCTAAATCCCAAGCCTATCAGTAGATTATTTTATCCTTCACAGAAAACCAACATGTTTTGACTGAAGATGCTGTATTTTTTTCACAACAAAATGTGACTTGCTCATGAGGACAACCTCCACAGAAGAACATATGACCTCTTTTAATGTCTAATACTTATATGTTTGAATTTCTCCACAAAAACATTCGACAAAAACCAGACCACCATGCACACACCTACACGTACACCAACCACAGAAATCAGATCTGACTCGCTTTCCCCAGGGCCACAGCTGTGTCTCACCCCTGCCTCAAACCAGTCTGCCCTTGCTACAATCACAAGAGCAACTGTGAGAAAGCTGGAGGAGGAAGAAGAAGAAAGGAAGTTAAGAAAATGAAGAACAGCCTAGTGGCTTGATTCTAAGGAGCTTTATCCACTTGGCCCCTGACTCCTAAAACTCACAACTTTGCTACTATAATCGGTCTAGGTATTTGTTCACTCACCTTGCCAAAGTGATCTTTCCTTTGTGCATGTTTAAGACAAACAATACTTGAGGCCTTGTGTGCTCTGTTCTAAGCACCTGACAGGTGGTAACTCATTCAATCCTCACAATAACCCTAAGCAGTATGTGCAATTATTATGTCCATTTTACAGGTGAGGCAAAAAAGCAAAGAAAGGTTAAGTCATTGACCAAGTTGACACCCATAGTAAGAGGCCGAGCTGGGATTCAAAACCATGCAGTCTACTCCAAAGCCATGATTTACCATGAGTTGGCTTTCCCAACTGTCACATACTCATTTACATGTTTTCTATGAATACTGACAGTTTTTTAAATGGGAAAATACTACACAGGCTATTTTTGTAATTTACTTACTCAACAACAACATACCTTGGGCATCTTCGCAAGTCAGTATGTAGTATTTCCTTCAAATCCCAAAACAGTTTATTTAAAACCTTAGATTAGCACTTATAATGGCTACCTTATAATTACATGTATAGTTGCTTTATGGACAGTAAACTTTTTATGTAGGTCTTATTCATTATTATATCACCCATCATACTTAACCAGTTTAACTCTCCTTAAACAAAAGCACACATATTTGAATCACCGGCCAGGGACATTAAAAACTTCTGAGATAAAAAGAAATGTTTGCCTTAAAGACATTGCAAATTTTTCCACTCAACATTAAAGCCCAAACACAGAAAGAATTAAGCTACTAGCATTTACATCCCTTTACGTCCCTTTCATCACTTTTAAATGTCAAATCTCAGTGCCTCAAAGAATTACTCCATTGTTTAGGGGATAATTTTCAGATAACAATGAAAACAAACTCTTTAAATTACTGAACTGCACTGTATCCTTTCCTTTTCCGTGTGACCACCTGAAAAAGCAACAGTTGTCAGTTTAAAAAGAATCAACTTCTTTCCCAAATGTACATGATTCACAGCTTGTTCACTGTCCATACGATATGAACTAAGAACTATGATGTAACACACTATGATAAACACGGTACCGAACACAAAGTCCAGGTGAAGAATGAAGAGGGGTAAACAAGAAGAGTACATGGCTAATTTTTTTTCTGTGGGACCCCCATTAATGGGAGCACTCTCTTCATTCATTTTCATTCAGTGATTCGCCATCAGTGCTAAACCTGAAAGCTGGAAAACACAATCTGGCCACTGCTTGGCCGCTTATGTTTTTTCTGCACCAAGACTGAGGCATGTCTTCCCCTGCAGTCCTCAGCTCCACTGCAATACTGATGCCAGCCAGTTTCAGTGGCCCAGCTGCCAAGCCTACCCATTCCTTCTTAAAGCATTTCTTCATCAATCCCACAAAACGACAAGCTCTTTACGGTTTATTTGTCTAGACTATCTAGTTAACACCATAGTTTAACAACTTTTTCCAACGTTAGCTGGACATGGGTCATTATCCCTTCAGTGTTAGCACTTTTCCCCATCCTCACCCCCATAATCCACACTGCTTTTCTTCTCCATATTGCCAATCCCCGCTGAGGGGCCCTAAAATCCCAGTAACTATCATCTACCAACTTCGAGGTCCTGACAAGAGTTCTCTTCGCCTTTACCCACACACCTACTCCAAAGGTATCCAATTCCCGTCCAAAATGTCAAAGTCCCACTCCTCATCTCAATGCCGTACCTTTTTTGGTGGACTCTAAACTTACCCATGAGACCTACCTTCTTTGGCTCCATCTCCCTCCCAAGCCTGAGTCTTGTCTCCCTGGCTACAAGCTCCTCAAATCCCGGCAGCAATATGCTTGACAGCTCGCCGCCCTCCACCCCATCAAACCTCCAGGATTGCCCTTCCCACCGTCCTTCAGCCTTCTTCCCATTCAGACACTCTTCCACTGTCCGAGAAACCTCAACCTCTCCTATGACCTCTCCCCGACCCCGACGTCCCGTTCTGGACCTCGCCAACCCCTCTCCAGGCAAGCGGAGACCCTCGCCCTGCAGGCCTATCTGTGGTCCTGGCTCCCCTCACCTGCAACCAGGGTTCCCAGGCTACAAAAACACAAGTAGTTCTTCTTCCTCAGGGCCACCCCCCCTTTCTCAGGCCGCTTCCCGCAGCACCACATCATCCGCGGTTCGCCGGGAGACCCCCAACTCACCCCCGCCTCCGCCATCTTCTGGGACCGGCCCCCTACCCTCTCCGCCTCTTCCTCCTCCCCTCCCACAACTCCGCCCGTGTTCGACTGCGCCTGTGCGGCCAACGCGGCCGCGCGCGGGCAATCGGGGCAGAAGGGCTTCCGGTTCCTGCTGGCACTAGCTAGTGGACCAGCGAGCCGGGGCAGAAGGGCTTCCGGTTTGCGCGAAATTAGCTGCTGGCATTGGGCGTGGACAAGCCAGGTGATGGGAGGCTGCGGGATCAGCTGTCGTTTGCTGACCAGGCAGTCGTGGGTTCTGACGGATGCCCAGACCCTGGGGGCGGAGTTAGCGATTCGCGCACTGACACACGCCTACTCACCAGAGAGGCGCGGCCCTCTGCGTGTCCCATGTCTCGTAGCCGAATGCTGCCGGGTCCAGAGTGCGGGCCACCGGTTCCTTCCCGGTAAGGGCGCTGAGTCTCAAAATCATTGTGCATTTGCCTAGCTTAAATCCTTGCCCTTTTTCCTCCTCTACTAAGTCAAAACTTATTTTGTGAAAAGAGTTTAATTGATATTTATCTCTCATCTCCATTCTACAGCACTTTACGCACTTTGCAGTCAAAATCATTCCCCAGGGACGACCAGATTTGGAAGGCAGTTGTTTCATAGGAAGGGCTTTAGAGGTTTACACCAAAGTAGAGAAAATACAAAACCTTATAACGGCTTGTCAGAAGTATTATTTTTCGCTGAATCTAAAACCATACTTTTAGAACATGAAACAACCCAAACATTTTTGGAGATTGTGCAGGTGAACTTTTGTTTTGAATGAAAGTGTGCCATCGGTACATAAGCAAACCGTAATGTAAGTGCTAAAAGGCATTCATTATAAGTGTCTCCCTATTCGAAATGGAAAAAATAAAATAAAAGCAAATCTTAAAAAATAAAAATAAAAGACAAAACCAAAATCTCTCTTGAGCATATTACATTACTGGGCTATTCCATAGATCACCTTTTGGAGTAGCTTAACTCAAAATATATTATGGATGTAGTCAGGTTACAATGGTCTTGAATGTTTTACATGAAATCTGGACCTAGAATCATTACATAATAATTTTGCAAAGGAGTGTCAGTTGGTGAACTGCCTTATTTTCTTTTACTTTGGTAAACAATAAGATATGGATTTTTAGTTTCTGACCTATTAATCAAAACATTTATTTCTGAAAATTGAAAGAGAAGCTAAATTTGAAACAAAATGTTTCTAGGTAAGTATATGACTTTTCTTGTTTTCTCTGATGTTTACTATAGCTCTTAAATTTTACTCCTGTAAGTTTTTATACTACCAGTAAAAAAGATCTGGGCCATTTGTACAGAACAGATGAGGAATTTTTAAAAGAAACAGCACCCAGAAAAAAGACAATTAACTTCAGAAAGTCCTGACATCATGGCTCTCTTTAAAACAACATGAGTTCTATATGTCCATCTTATGCTTATCCCAACCCAGCTTTTTCCAGACACTTAGAAATTGCCTTCAGGAAAATCCTCATGAAAACTTTTAGCCTACAGAGACATATATTTTAGTTCAAATATTTATTCATTGCAAGGAGGGACAAGACCTAAAAAGCAAGAACCATGTAGCACCAGTTCCCAAGGTTCTTACACCAGTGCAGCCATGCCTACTACAGTACAGGTCAGAATACATCTTTAGGAGAAATACAAGGGCTATTGTCTTCTGCGATTAGGTTTGAGGACAGTTTGCTTGGAAGATTTGGTCTTTCAATGGGCATTGAGAATAAATATGTAGATTATGGTGAGGCTGTGCCTTCTGGTAGGAGCTCAGAGTTGGAAAAATGTGAAACAGATTGTAGGGTCTGCCATGAAAAAAGATGTGTGGTGGGACATGAGTTCTAAACGTCAAGGTCATGAATTTGGACTAAATTTTTGTTACCATAGAAACATTGAAATTTTAAATTAATTGATACCAGAATATAAATTGGTTTATATTCTGATTATTCTGATTATATTCTGAATTATATTCTGATATATTGATTAAGAACTTTGAGAAATCATAACTTTGAGTTAAACTTTGAAGTTGGTGTAATGTTGTCAGTGGAATACTGGTGAAGTATTCTCAAAGCCTAGATTGTATTTTGAGGCTGTGACAGCATGTGTGTATTTATGGCCAAGAAATTCACTTTTTTCATCTATATAAGGAAGGATTGGTATAGATGATTTCTGAGGTCCTTTTCATAGGTAGAAATATCAATGACTTGATAATTCTGTGACCAGAGAAAGGTTTTTTCCCATTAACTTTATATATTGCTTGATCTCCCAACCAAACAGACCAAAAGGTAAGTTAAAAAACAAAAAAATTATTTTCTTAGCTAACACAAACACCCACAAAAGTTTATTGGCCTTGGTGGGGTGAGATATTGTTAAACTTGCATTAATTATTGCCTACAGGTGGATGACTAAACCATTCAGTAAGCTTCTAAGAACCTTGGACTTGGAAGCTTTACCCAATAATTTTTTAAATGAAGTATTGCAGTCTTTCTAGTCAGTAGCTAGACCCAAAACACTAGAGACCATTCTACTTTTTAGGTTTTTGTTTTCATTATGGTGTTTTGATGTGGGATGTGTATGGTTGAGGGACACAAAAAGTCAAGGAATTTTGCCAAAGATTTTAGGATGGATTATTTATTAATCCAACTATCACCTGAGCACCTGGCAGGTACAAGGCACTTGGCAGTGGACTTTAGGAGGAAAGCAGAGCAGGCAAAGCCTCTTCCCTTGTGAAGCTTACAGCCTAGTGGAAGGAGCACACAGTAAATAGTTGAATTAAATTACAAATTGAGACAAGTGCTATGAAGATGGAACATCTCCATACTGTGATGGAGAATAAAAGGGTAATACCTGAAGACTGTATGACTTGACGATTGAGAGGAATCTGCTCAGAGCAGGATGAAGAGCAAGTGCGAAGGCACAATCTGGAAAATCTTGTGCATTCCAGAAATTAAAAGGAAGGCAGACCAGCTGGGGGTAGCAATTGAGAAGGAAGAAAGTTACAAATTGAGGTTGCATATTAACAGCATGATCGAACACTTACTGTGTGCCAGGCACTGTGCTAAATTCACTCTCATTTCACATGCTCAAAACCCCTTTCAAATAGATACCAAATAGTAGAGGAGAAATTAAGGCTGACAGCAGTGATTCTCAACCCTAGCTATATGTTAGGATCACCCATAGATCTATTAAAAGTTATAGTGCCCAAGCACCATCCTCTGTATATTCTGATTTAATTGGGCTGAAGAGGGGGTTTGGGCCCTTTTAATAAATTCCATGTGCAATCCTAATGTGCATCCAAAGTTGAGAATCACTGACTTAACATTAATGTGTCCAAGGTCACTCAGCAACTAAGTAAGTGGCAGAGGAAGCAGAAATTGAACCTAGATGTGTTTGATTCCAAAGCCTGTGCTCTTGGCCACTCACTAGTGCCCTGTCAACATTCAACAGCGTATAGTAGGTGGTAGTTATGTGCTGGGAACTTTGTCAAACACTGAGACACAAGGATGAATGAGACAGAGCTCTTGCCTTCAAAAAATTTACAGGCTTATAAGGCATAAGCTGGACCAGCCCATGTAGACAGAAGCAAGTCAACTGAGAACTCAATGAGGTCATGTATGTTCTTCCTATTTTAAGATAGATTGGCATGGAAGGTAATTTGCAGCAGGGAGTCTAGGTAGGCAGCTATTCTAATTGTCAGCTGAGACATGGTGCAAGCCTGAACTGAGGCAATGGCAAAGGGCACAAAGAGAATTGGCATGACTTGCTGACTACTGATATGAGGGTGAAGAAAAGAAAGAAGTGAAAGATGACTTCAAAATTTTGAGTTTGAGAGATTGAATGGAAGTAACACCATTGATCTAGAACAAGGGCATAAAAATTGAATTTCAGGTTGAATGAGTTTGAAATACTTGTTGAACATTAAGGTAGAAATGTCTAGTAAGAGTGCTAGAAATGTATATCTCAAATTTGAATCAGCAAATTGGTCTAGAAGTGAAGATCTGGAAGTTGATTTATAGGAGGGAAGTTGGAACTATGCCTTGTGTAATGTGTATGCTTTGTATGGAATTTTCTTAAAAAGACAATAGAGATAGGGGAAGAAAAAATGTGACATTGCTGTACTTGAATATGTCAATAAAGCTATTTTTTCTGCAGTAATATTAAACACAGTCAATTGAAGATCATTCATGATGAGTTTTTAATACTTTCCAGACTTTCCCAGGCCTCATAGCAAATTTAATAGATGATACATAGCCATGGAATGCAAATCAATTTTAAATAGAGGCTAAATATTTAAGAAGAATGCTGTGTGGTGCATTCAGAAGTGCAATAGAAATATCCTTGATAGTGTTTTCACACAAATAATTCTTATGTACCCTTAATATTGACTTAAATTATGTTGATCATAATATTATTTAAACCTACAAAAGTTACAGTGTTCTAAACATAAAACTAGAGAGAGAGTTCTTAGGCTTAAGCTCACATACATCTATAAAACCAAAACACTTGCAAAATAACTATGAACAAAAGCATAAAATAGGTAAGCTTAAAATTATAGTTACATAAAAGACATTTAAAACTGATGCTCAACATCATCAATGTTGAGGTGGGCAAGGGGAGTGGGGTTTGAACCTGCAAAACTCCAAAAGAAGAGGGCAATGAGAAGGGCATTCACCTTTTAGTGGTGTAATCCTTCTGTGATATTTTTGAACAGGTCTGTTAGGAAGCAATGACAACTAAAGTCAATAAACTGAATGTTTATAAAGTCAAATGGTCCCTGCAAGGCTTGGTATGTATCATCAGGCAAAACAAATAAACTAAACAAAGCCCAAACGAGGTCAGCGTGGATGCGCAAGCAAATGCAAAACACAACTCTAAGACAAAACCACTGAAGTATAAAACATCAGAATGAGAATACAACTGGAAAGATTATAGACTATAAACTACTTGTCAGAGAGGCAATGATAGAGACCAAGAATATAGAGGCGACGCTAGCTATTAATTATTATTACAAGGGCCCATACAATGTGAGGTCAAAAAACACAACAAGGTGTTCTCTAAGAGATTTCTCGCCTTCTAATTCAC